TTCTGTATAGCTGGTACAAATCATGTATATAACCACCAAGTGCTATCTGCACATTATGTGCTTGTTTCCTGAACTGCATTTCCTGTACTTGTTGCCAGAAGCTGATTTTACACATTCAGAATAATAAATGTTCAACAGCAAGAAACCCTAAAAATGTCATTGCAATCTGGGAAAATCTGTCTTATTAGGTGCAATTAGCACCTCAGGAGGCAGCCCCCGTGGGGTTTGCAATCACCTATCTCTCTCCCACCCACTTTATAGTGACCTTGTCAGCACTAGTCAACTGGAAGCATCACATAACTGGAATATTTACATTGCACATTTCAATGTCGGTTGTCAGTAATTTCTAGAAGGTTCAGAGGAAGCTGAAAATAGAACAGCTTCATCAATAAAAAGAGAAAAACTGATTGGCCACATGGCTGAAATTAAATGAGGAATATAACCTTGTTATCTTTCAATTATTATTCTTATAAAAATACTTATTTTAAAAGAAATAACTTGGGACAACTGTTACCTTTCTCTGAAAAAGGAGGTACCAGTAAATTTACAATATTTAATATGTGCATACATTACATGACTAGTGTAGAATAGATGTGCTAGTTAAGACCAAAGCTACTGAACCATCAGCTAAAGGTTTGTTATCAACCTCAGGGAGATGCACAGCACAGATAAAAACATTAAACTGAAGGCAATGCAACACCAAGTGGCGAAGTAAGCAAATGACTGGCCTCAAAGAAGCCGAGATGCGAATAATGACCTGAAACACTCCCAGATTATTGCAGTTAAAGCGCACCTTCAGATTCCGAAAAGACTCCCCCCAAATCTCCACCGCAATACGACCAGAAAGAGCTCCAACAAAACCAGATTCCGAAGAAAACCAGCCGACCGCCAAGAAGGCGGCCACGGAGCCACACTCCACCGACCCCAGAAGAAGACCCCATAGTCCGTGGAACCTGCTGTGTTTCTGAACAGCTCCAGATCAAATTTGCTCACCGGGTCGGACATCCACAGGGATCGGCCATAAAAAAGAGTTAAAGAAGAGTGCCAGACACGCAAGTCCGCCCTATGATCCCTAGACAAGCGAATGAAATGAGAAGGCGAGGTGACCTCTGACATAGCCGCCGACAAAACACCGTACCCAACGGCATAATGCGACATGCAAAATTCAGCTTGCCCAACAAAGATTGTAAGGCACTTAGCTGGATCTTGCACTTAGCCAAGACCCCCCGAATTTCGATCCAGAGGGCCAACAGCTTGTCCTCAGGAAAACGACACTCCATAGCGCTCCATCCGACACAATGCCCAGGAAACTGATCACTGAGGCCGGGCCCTCCATCTTTTCCAGAGCCAGTGGAATCCCGAAACGCTCAGCAATGTGTTGCAGAGTTGCCAGAAGACCAGCACACACGTTTGAAACGGGCTGTTCCACACAGAGAAAATCATCCAAATAATGGATGATGAAATTCACTCCAGAGACCCCCTTTCGGGAAGGAAAGATGCTGAATCAGCCGAAACGCACTTCCTTATGCAACTTATTCGAAACCACCACGGGATGCTGCAATGCTGACCGTAAATTCCGTGCCATCGGCGGCATGGAAGCCAAAGTGCAAGAGATCCTCAAACCCTCCAAAAACCCAGCCTCCAGGAGCGAAGCAGCCTCCCAATCAGGATATCTATTTAGGAAAGGCAGCATCCTTTCCACCCTTCACCAGCGGCGCCCCTTTTTTACCCGCAGGCTCGCCATCACGGCCTCTACTGTGTTCGAAGCAGCGCAACAGTGAATAGGAGCCACCACAGCTGGAACATTCGGGTATAAACCAGCAGGCCACACCGAATTTACAGGATTCCTTGTTGAACTGGCAGCAGAAACTCCTGTGTTTTGCGACTGATTGCCCCGGGGTAAACAGACTAACTCCTCACCCCCTGAAAATATGGACTAGGAGCCCACGCCGGAGTCATAAGCCTCATCCAAACGCCAATGTCCTTGTGGTCCCAACGCAAGAACGGTCAGACAGCCCTGTGCTGCGGAAACTGTTCATCGTAACGGAGCCAGGCAGTGCCCCCGTAAACCCTATGGGCTTCACTAATAGCGTCGAGATAACAGAAGAGCACCGAGCAATGCTCCGGAGTCTTCTCCCCAATGACACTGGCCATAACAGCAAATGCCTGCAACCAGTTCGAAAAGGTGCACGGGATGAGCCTAAAACGCTGCTTCTCCTCATCCTCCAGCCTTCTGTCCTCAAGCCTCCGCCTGTCCAAGTTACATTTCTCCAGAGGCAGGAACTTGAATATCTCAACATGCTCACTTCTCCAAATCTTCTCCCGGACATCAGGCTTCAAGTGCGCACCTAATGGGCCCTCACAACAAACATAAACCTCGCACTTGGCAAAATCAGTGAAGTGGACAGGCTCCAACAGCCCCCCACTTGCCCCCCAACCACATCTCCACCACCAGGAGGGATCCACGCAAAAACGGGCCAGGAGCGTTCACCACAACCCCGCTGAAAATGCCACAGCAAATACAGAAAGCCAGCATCTGTCCCCAATGGGGACTCCTCCCAGCACCAGACCCGCCCATAGACGTTTCGGACCTTCGGCCAGCAGAGCGCCCAGCTGCTCTCCGCTCAGCACTGCTCCTCTTCACAGCCATCCCTGCAGAGGCTCCCGCCAAGCCAGGGGGGCCACCGGCTGCAGAGGGGCTGCAGCAGACCGTCTCTCGCACCGGACCTCCTCCCTGACAGGCACGTCATTACAGGAGGAGTCTGAGCCTCTGTGTGCCATCTGCCAAGCGGGCGGGAAGAGGGACTAACACCACGAGGCCCTCTACCGCCGAGCTCCACCATGGATGGAGATTTCTCCCAGACACCACCAACAGAGGCAGAAGAGCGCCCTGCTGGCGGGCCTGGAGACTCCCTTGCTGGCACCAAGCCCTGGGAGTGGGTTCCGAGCTGAAGCGCTCTGGAGGCCTTGACCTCCAAGAGTGTGGGAACTCGTGCCCCCCTGCTACCGTCCCAGAGCCCTGGTCCCCCAGCAGAGTGGAGACCTGGCCCTGCAGCCAGACCATGCCCCTGGAAGTGGCTGCAACCAGCTGGGACAGCAAAAGATCCAGGTCTGCCATCTCCCACGCAGTGGCCCCAGCAACAGGTTTTTGCCCAAGGGGACCATGAAGTTTCTTCTTCTGCTGCCACTCATGTATTGGATCGTCCAACCCTCCACCACTCCCAAAGGTTCTGAAGACCCACCCTGCACTACCAATCACCAATCAGGTAAACCTACATGTTCTACAATCTTCCCACCTTTTTTTTATTAACCCTTTACTGTCTTTCCTACCTTCTTCACCTAGTCATATCTGCCCTCCACTATTTTTTTTTTTTCCCTACGGGCACCGCTTTTTCTTTCAAATAAGATATTGTCAGAATGGACTAGCCAGCAATGGTGGGACTCACCTGCCTTTTGATCTGCAGTACCAGGGCTGGCCAGCGGATGCTCCCAGCAATCTTCCTGTCTGATTCTCTGCTACCTGTTTCTGATCCCTGGCTTGTCTGACCATCCCTCTGCCTGACCCTCTGTACAACGCTGCCTGCTACCTGTTCTGATCCCTGGATTGTGACCCTTGACCATCCCTCTGCCTGACCCTCTGTACTACGCTGCTAGCTACCTGCTGAACCTGGCCTGTGACCCCGACCAATCTCCGCTTGCTCCCCCTGTACCTACCTGCCCAATTGATATTGACCCGGCCTGCCTGACGACGCTTGCTTGTTTGTACTGTTATCTTTGGGTGGTTTTTTTTGGTTTGTTTGCACTGTTATTATGTTTAGTATTGCACTGCGTTTTATGTTTGTATTGTTAGTGTTAATAAATTATATTGTTTATAACATATCTGAAGTCTGGCGTTTCCCTGCGTCAGTCACACACCTCTGGTCACACCTGGGAGCCCTGACATTACACCAAGGGCCATTCCTGACCAGAAAGTGGCTGCACAGGGAAGCCAGTCTTGGCTTGTTGCTGGGAAGGTATGATGATCTGGATGAGTTGTGTATTTATCTCTGCTAGTGTTTGATGACAGGGAGTATGCTTATCAAACTCTGAAGGAGTATCCCCGGGATCAACTGCTAGAATGTATACGACGCTCGCTCATGTTCTAGTAGATCAGGGCACAGAGTTCGCTCTCTGAGTGCAGCCTTTGATTGAGGTTTGTGCTGAGTTTGGTTTCATCTGGTTCCCCCGAATGCAGGGATGAATTTTTGCCACCATTTAGTGCAAGCAGACCAGGTAGAGTTCCCTGGTGTGGTTATTAGAGGATATGTGGGTTACTTTCTGGAGCGTTATTCCAGATGTTCACCACAGACACTAAGAGATTGTATAAACGCAGTGCAGTCTTTGTCAGAACAGGCGTTTGTAAGCTCAGCTTTGTTCAACCCATACTGCAGACATGGACAGACTTGTTGCACCCAGCCTCAGTCAGCTTACAAAAAACCCAGTCCTGCTTCTAACTCTACTCCTGTATTCCCACCAGCTCCTCCAGTTACAGCCCAGTATACTTGGCTATCTACCGCATGTCAGTACCCTGTTTTCCCACTCGCTGGCACCTATCCTGCCTTTAACCCTGTAAAAAAGTCCTCTGTAGCAACTGCTCCCTCTCCTGTTCCATCCTCCAGTTTTTCTCTGTCTCCAGCTGCTCCATTCGTTTGCAGACCTGCGTTTACTTGCAGTGCTCCCAGTAGTTAAAACCAGAAAAAAGCGAAAATTCTTTTCCAACCAATACCATCCTGCCAGTACCAAACCAGTGAACCTGCCTTCCGTGACTCAGCCTGAAGCCTCTACTCAGCCTGAAGCCTCTACTCAGCCTGATGCCTCTCTTCAGCCGGATGCCTCTCACTTCATCCGGATGCCCTCTCTTCGCCTGATGCCTCTCTTCGGCCTGATGCCTCTCTTCTTCGGCCTGAATGCCTCTACTCGGCCTGAAGCCTCTACTCGGCCTGAAGCCTCTACTCGGCCTGATACCTGCATTCAGCCTGATGCCGCTACTCAGCATGATGAACTGATCCAGCCCGACGATCCTATTAGGCCAGTTGACTCGATGCCCGCTGTTGATCCAGATGATCCGGTACCTGATCCAGTTGCCCGCTGTCGTGCCAATTGACTCAGAGCCCGCTGTCATACCTGGTGACCCGGTGCCCACTGCCTTGCCAGATGACGCGGTGCCCGCTGGCAAGACCCAAATGACCTGATGCCTGGTGACCCAGTGCCCGCTGTCATACCTGTGACCCGATGCCCGCTGTCGAGCCAGACAATCCGATACCTGATGACCCGTGCCCACTGTCGTTGCCTGTTGACTCGGAGCCCACTGTCTTGCCAGACGACTCGGTGCCTGCTGTTCCGCCAGTTGACTCGATGCCCGTCTGTTCCGCCAACGACGACTCGGTGCCCCGCAGTCTTGCCAGACGACTCGGTGCCCGCAGTCTTGCCAGAACGACTCGGTGCCCGCAGTCTTGCCAGACGACTCGGTGCCCGCAGTCTTGCCAGACGACTCGATGCCCGTCTGTTCCGCCAGTTGACTCGATGCCCGCTGTCCGCCAGTTGACTCGGTGCCCGCAGTCTTGCCAGACGACTCGGTGCCCGCAGTCTTGCCAGACGACTCGGTGCCCGCAGTCTTGCCAGACGACTCGGTGCCCGCAGTCTTGCCAGACTCACGACTCGGTGCCCCCTGTTCCGCCAGACGACTCGGTGCCCGCATCTTGCCAGACGACTCGGTGCCCCGCAGGCTTGCCAGACGACTCGGTGCCCGCAGTCTTGCCAGTTGACTCGATGCCCGCTGTTCCGCCAGTTGACTCGGTGCCCGCAGTCTTGCCAGACTGACTCGGTGCCCGCAGTCTTGCCAGACGACTTGGTGCCCGCTTTCCGCCAGTTTGACTCGATGCCCGCAGTCTGCCAGACGACTCGGTGCCCGCAGTCTTGCCAGACGACTCGGTGCCCGCAGTCTTGCCAGACGACTCGGTGCCGCCCGCAGTTCCGCCCAGTTGACTCGATGCCCGCAGTCCCGCCAGTTGACTCGATGCCCGCTGTTCCGCCAGTTGACTCGGTGCCCGCTGTTCCGCCAGTTGACTCGTGCCCGCAGTCTTGCCAGACGACCGTGCCCCAGTCTTGCCAGATGACTCGTGCCCGCAGTCTGCCAGAAGACGACTCGGTGCCCGCAGTCTTGCCAGACGACTCGGTGCCCGCAGTCTTGCCAGACGACTCGGTGCCCGCTGTTCCGCCATTTTGACTCTGTGCCCGCAGTCTTGCCAGACGACTCGGTGCCCGCTGTTTTTCCGCCAGTTGACTCGGTGCCCGCAGTCTTGCCAGACGACTCGGTCCCGCAGTCTTGCCAGACGACTCGGTGCCCGCAGTCTTGCCAGACGACTCGGTGCCCGCAGTCTTGCCAGACGACTCGTGCCCGCAGTTCCGCCAGTTGACTCGGTGCCCCGCTGTTCCGCCAGTTGACTCGGTGCCCGCCGCAGTCTTGCCAGACACTCGGTGCCCACTGTCGTGCCTGGTGACTCGGTGCCCGCCGCTTCGTCCTGGGGGCCCGAGACCTGTCGCTCCACCTGGGGCCGGCCCGCCCCGCCGCTCCGCGCCTGGGGGCCCGAGACCTGTCGCTCCCGCCTGGGGGCCCGAGACCTGTCGCTCCACCTGGGGGTCCGCGCCCGCCGCTCCGCCTGAGGCCCGAGACCCCGTCGCTCCACCTGGGGGTTTCCGGCGCCCGCCGCTTGCCGCCTGAGGGCCCGAGACCTGTCGCTCCGCCTGGGGGCCCGAGACCTGTCGCTCCACCTGGGGGTCCCGGCGCCCGCCCGCTCCGCCTGAGGCCCGAGACCCTGTCGCTCCACCTGGGGTCCGTCGCCCGCCGCTCCGCCTGAGGTGCCCGAGGACCTGTCGCTCCGGCCTGGGGGCCCGAGACCTGTCGCCTCCACCTGGGGGTCCGCGCGCGCCCTGCCGCTCCGCCTGAGGGCCCGAGACCTGTCGCTCCACTTGGGGGTCCGGCGCCCCGCCGCTCCGCCAGGGGGCCCGAGACCTGTCGCTCCATCTGGGGTCCGGCGCCCGCCGCTTTCCCGCCTGAGGGCCCCCGAGACCTGTCCGCTTCGCTCCGCCTGGGGGCCCGAGACCTGTCCAGCTCCATCTGGGGTCCGCTCCCCGCCGCTCCGCCTGAGGGCCCGAGACCCATCGCTTCTCCGCCTGGGGCCCCGACGCCCGTCGCCCCGCCCTGAGGGGGCCCGACCCCGTCGCCCCGCCTGGGGCCCCGACGCCCCGTCGCCCCGCCTGGGGGCCCGACGCCCCTCCCTGGCCCGACCCCGGCACACCGCTCGCGCCTGTCTGGGGGCCCTACGCCCGTCGCCCCCGCCTGGGGGCCCGTCGCCCCGCCCGGACGGCCCCGGTGCCTGCTGCTCCGCCCGGGGGCCCGGTCCTCTCGCTGCCCAGCCCCTGGGGGCCCGTGCCTTGCTCGCTCCGCCGTGGGGCCCGGTGCCTGCTACATTCCGACTCCCGCCCGGTGGCCCGCTGCCTGCCTGCATCGCCTCGCCTGTAATCTGATGTGCCTCTGCCCGGAGTCCTGCCCGATGTGCCTCTGCCCGGATCCAGCCCCGATGTGCCTTCTGCCCGGAGTCCAGCCCGATGTGCCCTCTGCCCGGAGTCCAGCTTGATGTGCCTCTGCCCGAGTCCAGCCCGATGTTGCCTCTGCCCGGAGTCCAGCCCGATGTGCCTCTGCCCGGAGTCCAGCCCGATGTGCCTCTGCCCGGAGTCCAGCCCGATGTGCCTCTGCCCGGAGTCCAGCCCGATGTCTGCCTCTGCCCTGGAGTCCCACCCTTAAACGCCAGATGTGCCTCTGCCCGGAGTCCAGCCCGATGTGCCTCTGCCCAGAGTCCCCAGCCCGATGTGCCTCTGCCCGAGTCCAGCCTGATGTGCCTCTGGGCCCGGTGTGCCTCTGCCCGGTGTGCCTCTGCCCGTGTGTCCCCTGCCCGGTGGTGCCCCCACTGCGGCGGAGTCCCCTGCCCGTGTGCCGCTGCCCGGATCCTGCCCGGTGTGCCAGTCTTCTGATATCCCGCCCATTACCAGACCCGGGCAGGTGGAACATTTGCCCAGTCTAGGACTGTTTTGGAGCGTCCTGAGGCCGCTCCTTGAGGGGGGGGTACTGTCAGGAATGGACTAGCCCAGCAATGGTGGGACTCACCTGCCTTTTTGATCTGCAGTACCAGGGCTGGCCAGCGGATGCTCCCAGCAATCAGAGACTCAACTCTTGCAGCCAGCTAACACCTGAACTGATTATGCAGGGGTATTTTAAGGGATGGCCAGACTTGCAGACTCTGCCCTGCCTTGGGTGTTGTGTTTTCTCTTGGGGCCCTGTATCCTGTTCCTGCTCTCTGATTCCTGTCTGATTCTCTGCTACCTGTTCTGATCCCTGGCTTTCTGACCATCCCTCTGCCTGACCCTCTGTACTACGCTGCCTGCTACCTGTTCTGATCCCTGGATTGTGACCCTGACCATCCCTCTGCCTGACCCTCTGTACTACGCTGCTAGCTACCTGCTGAACCTGGCCTGTGACCCCGACCAATCTCCGCTTGCTCCCCCTGTACCTACCTGCCCCAATTGATATGTGACCCCGGCCTGCCTGACGACGCTTGCTTGTATGTACTGTTATCTGTGGGTGGTAGGTTAGTTTGGTTTGTTTGCACTGTATTATGTTTAGTATTGCACTGCGTTTATGTTTGTTATTGTTAGTGTTAATAAATTATATTGTTTATAACATATCTGAAGTCTGCGATTCCTTTCCCTGCGTCAGTCACACACCTCTGGTCACACCTGGGAGCCCTGACAGATATACTGTCCTCTTCCTCTGACACTTAGAGAATGTATCCAAAAAATCGAAACTCTGAAGTTATCCAAAAATAATAGAAGAGAAACATTGCTTAAAGAGTATTGTCCGTGCTAAATAAAAAAAAATAAACCTCTGCATGCAGTATATGTCAAATTCCTCCTGTTTTTATCCCTTTAAAGACCCTTCAACTACAGACATTTGTGTGAGGATATACCAGCAATGCACTCAGGTCCTAGTCATGTTAACGGGCTGACAACACACAGTAGTTTTTTGTAATCTCTGTCCAGATTTCTCCTGCAAAACTACTCAGGACCCTCTCACTCTGCCACTTCTCCACAACATACAGACTAATCATTCTGTAGTCCAAGATAAGAACTAGGAGGGCTAATTAAACTCCTTAAAGTGGTTCACAAAGGCTTTACCTGAATGCATTCTCCTCATTAAGTAAAAAAAACCTGCATGCAAATCCCCTTCCCAATACTTATCTGAGCTTGATATCAATCCAGTGTTGTGCATGAAAGCAGAGGTTTATCTCCACTCTCACCCTCCTCATAGATTCAGAGACAGCAGTGGAGCCATTGGCTCCAGCTGCTGTCAATCACAACCAGTGAGGAAGGAGTGGGACAGGGCTGTCTTATTAACATTATGGCCCCTGGGCAAAGTAATGCACTGGGGCCCCTACCAGCCTGCATTAATATATGCATCTACTATCAAGAATTAAAGTATAAATAGTGGATAGAATTTTAAACATATATTTATTGGTACTTTCAATAAAATTGATTTTTAAACAGTAAGAAAGCATGCCATGAATCAAAGACTAATCAACACAGTATGGGGAAGGGGGTGCCAGAAGGCATAGTACACAGTGCAGGGGAGTCAGAGGGCACAATACTGGGATCAGGAGGGCACAGTACATTTTCTGGCACACTGCCCGGGCCCATCCTGGGACACTTTATTACAATTGTCAGTTGTTTATGGTATTTTTATTATTCCTTAAAATCTACACAGGATTTCTACAAGTTCCATATTTTAAGGACTGCAGTTACATGACACGTTACTTGGCACTTGGTACCTATTTCTATTAAACATTTTTATAAAAAAAACACCATTTGCAGGAGATGCAGTAAAGATGTAGATATTTATTGGCATATATGGTTTTATTGTTCTAAATGTGATCAATTATAGGGGAAAATATCAACATTTATAGTTAAAGTCATTATGAAACCTTTACAATTAGATTTTTTAAAATTTAGCACGTATTTAATGACACATTTTACAAACAAAACACTAATTAATTCAGTTCTAATGTTCACCAAATCACGTATCACTAAATACTGGATGTCAGCCGATATCTACTCAATTACGTAATAATCCAACTCAAATGACACATATAAATAAATGCATTACGACTAAATAAACATGTTTTTGGCAGTTTGGAATTCTTGGTTTCAATACAATGAAAAACTTCAACTAGAACTTGTCTCAGTAATTTTGCATCATTTATTTATTGAGTTTAATAACTTTAGTCATTTCTGTAATGATTCACTGCTTTTTGTGTACTCATGTAACACCATGCTTTAAATTTTCATTGTTGTAATGTCTATATACCCAAACCCATTGTAATTACTCTACTTGTCTTTCTTTACAATTCCCAAGGAACGACAACAAGTCTGTAACTTTTCCAATACAGTAGGTGTTCTTACCATGCGTTAATTGGAAAACGTATTTCTGGAACGCTAGTCAAGTTCCTTTCTTTGTTCTACTTACATTTGATGTATTGTATTATATTTCTTGCAAAACATAAAAAAAGAAAATTACAAAAAAAACAAAAACAAAATATAAGAAAAGAAACAATTGGTAGCAGAAGTGAGTTGTAGTAACTATTCAGTACCTACATTAACAAGGTAGAAAATGGACATTTTAACCAAAACCATTGTAACATACTGTAATAACATATCATATATTTGGATTAAAGAAGATAATCACAGCAATCTGAAATATTCTCCATAGACAATGAATATACTAAAATCTCAAAGCTGCTGCAACTACAGTATGATGGCTTCACTTGATGTGATTGGCTGATTAGCAATTTGTGTTACCCAGCAATTGAACCGGTCTACCTAATAAAGTGGCGATGAGTGTATATAGAATGCAAAGCCGTCTATAGTGTTTACAGAGAATGTCCGGAAAAAGAGAAAATATCTAGTGAGCGACAGTTGTGTGGACAAAAATGCCTTGTTAATGTTAGAGGTCAGAGGAGAATGGGCAGACTGGTTGCTGCAACATTCAGATGGTAGGGTCAAAATTTGGCATAAAAACATGAAAGCAGAGATCCATACTGCCTTGTATCAACGGTTCTGGCTGGTGGTGGTGTATTACTGTGGGTGATATTTTATAGGCACTAGCAACCTGTACATAATAAAGTGGCCGGTGAGTGTAGACTCCTTTTCCACTGCTGCATTCTACATTGTTTTTTGACAACTGCCAGCCAGCTGTCAAAATACCTCAACAGTGCCTGCTTCTGATTGGATGTATGCACTGTTAAGTCAACAATTTTTAAATCAGCTCCATTGATATTTCAGTTGAGGGATAACATTTATTGCATGCAGAAAGATCAGACAGACAATAGGATTCTGTAGGTAGTATTATTTAAAGGTCAAAAGAAATATTTCCTTTCCTTGGAGTTCATTTCCTTAGGAAGGAAGAAATCACTTCCTACAAGTGGAGGTTACAAGGAAAATCAGTACAGTCAGAGCCAAAACAGCCAAGCATCTAGCATTTTCAAAATGAGGCCAATGACAGCAGGCCCTATATTTCTCTTGACAGGTTCACTTTAATTGTGAACTTACACTTTATGTAAACTTATCCTGAAAGACTTTTTAACATGCATTCCAAACTTTTCAAACCAGTAAATAATATACTAATTATATTAAAAAAAATCTTTTCTAATAACCCAAATAGAGACATCAATTAAATAAATGTTCAGTTTATTTCCTGTGCAAAAAACAAATTGGTTCAGGTAGACAAATTCACATAGATAAGTCCAACATTTAACTGAAAGCCATTTTAGTCTAGTTAAAACAGAAGTTCACCAGGTCTCTAAATAAATAAAGCATTTTCTGCAGTTATCTCCCGGTACATAAAGAAATACAGACACATAACAAGAAAAACCCAAGAATAATTTAACAAGAAGGAAACACCATGCGTTTTCTA